CCAATATTGAGAAAATAAATATCCTTATAAATAGAGAAGGTGCACATACCGATTTCAACCTCTTTGTCGAATCTCCCAGGACGTCTCAAAGCTGGATCGATTGCGTTGGGCCGATTTGTGGTGGCTACAACGACGACCCTTCCCTTGGGTTGGTCCGAATCTTCTTGCGCTTCCATACCATCCAGAATTGTCAATAAGGTAGCGACGACCCGCTTCGCCACCTCACCACCGTCACCCCCATCATCCCTCCGTGGACACATGGCATCCACTTCGTCTAAAACGACGATACATGGAGCACTCTTTTGGGCACTTTCAAACACTTCTCTCAACCTTTTTTCACTCTCTCCATGATATGCACTCCCTAACTCGGGCCCGTTGACTACGATAAAGTTGGAATTGGTCGATTGTGCGATTGCCCTCGCCAAATGCGTCTTCCCAGTTCCCGGCGGGCCATGGAGTAGTAGTCCCTTGGGCGGCTTGAGATGGAAATGAGAGAAGAGTGACGGACGAGTCAGAGGTATCTCGATGAGGTCCCGTATTTGGGAGATTTGACGGGAAAGGCCGCCCACACTCTCATAAGGGGTTGAAGGAATAGGTTTTTCTATGACTGCATGGACCGTTCCCTCTGGAATTTGTGAGGCAGGAAGAATCTCGATGATACAATCCCACCCTATCACCCAGACGGGTTCTCCTTCCATCATAGCAGAATTCGAAAGAGACAGCGTCTGGAGGTGGCCCTCCAAATTCTTGTTTCGTGCTTTCCCCCTTGTGACAAGAAATGTCCTACTCCTTCCTTCCCATTTCAAGTATACGGCTCGTCCCTTCCAGACGTATTTCATGTTGACTGTCTTTGATATATTAGCAACCACAAAACAGCAGGAATGGAATCTACGTACCAATATTTTCTCTCAAATACATTTTGAGCCATTCTACTGTCCCTTCTTGAGAGTTTTCTCCTGTAGTCGCTCGTTCGCTGGTCCACACATTAGAGCTCGTTGCACTATAGACTTCTGACAGATATAGGTGCTTCGCTCGCTGGATTTCGTTTGTTTCTAGTTTATTGACCCTGAGGCGAGCTCCATCTTTGGCCTTCAGAACGTCTGTTGCAATTGTGGGGTGCACCGTTATACCTGTTTGGTCATGGTCGATCAGGATCAAGTGTATATAAATAGATGCATAAGAAAACTTACAGACATTCTAACGCAAGATCGGTAGAGGGCCATGCCGCTCCTACAAAAAACTGGCTCTAGTATGAGATTGGAAGACAGACAGCAGCTCTCAAGTAGAATAGACATACGGATCCATTATCTACTAAATCCAAACTGGTCAATCGTACCGCTTCCCCGGCGATTATATTGTGCTGCCTAAACACAGCGACACTGAGGACTACTTTGTGCCCTGAGGTGGATGGCTGATTGGAGGAGTATTCCGTAGATAAAAGGCGCAGGACAAATTCCCCTATCATGGGCGTTGATATTTAATATTATTCTATCCCACGATAGTTGGTTGGTAAAGTGTGAGACGGAAATTATGGTGAGGATAGAGTTTAAAGTGCGTTCGATGTCTTAGCGGCTCGGTGAGGAGGTACAGGAGGTTATCTCTCTTTGATTACAACGTCCTAATTATTCAAAGGCAAAATCTCATAGACCGTCATGTAGAAGCCCAGGTCATCCAGGACCGCCACAGTCTCCTCCCATGGCACGCGAAAAGCCCCAGCATTGATTCTACTATAAGATTTGGTAAAGAGGGTGTTCCAATGATGTTGAAAAGAATGAACTCACCACCCATACATTGGCTTATCGCTCCCCTGAGTTTGCCCCATTAAATCTTGTACAGCCGATCTCGTACTTCGCAGTATTTTTGCTTTCGGATCTGTGTGCCTTCCGTATCTTTCTGAGGTGAATAGGCAAGCAATATCTCTTTGTCCAGCGGGAATGAGTAGACAAGTACCAAGTAAATCGCTCCCTTTCTCCAAACAAGCATTATGATATATCTCATAAGCTTCGGGGTACTTGCGTTTGAATGCTACTGCGATTCCACTGCCCCAAGACCCGAGGGTGTTGCAAGCATGAACCAATACGCAACGTTTGGGGGCATTCTCAAAGAGGTCACCCTGGTGCACTACGGTAGACCCGGTACTGCTCGGCTGAGTAGATTGTGACGCTGCCATATTTGTGGTCGAATGAAAATAAGGAGAGTTTGGCGATGGTGGTGGGTGTTAGGCTGAGACTGGGGCTTTGGAATCAAGCGCTGCCCTTTTATCCCTGGAGTAGTGGTTGGGCCCAATGTCGAGTCATATATCATTCTGCTCATAACACCTCTTCTGGTTCAACGTGACTCATTTGATGACAAAGTTAAAAGAAGAAGAACGATTGCCAAGTTCAGGCAATTTAGAAGCTCACACAAATATTTGTGGGTTCAGATAAACTAGGGGTCGATTCGTATCAAGCTTCATGATCACTCATTATTATTATATGTTGATGAATTTTACATACTCTTTCATGAACGTCGTGGTCATTCGGTCAATGGGTACAGAGTATGGAAATATTGGAATTTAGGGCAATTTACATGGCTTCTTCACTTCTTTTCTTGTCGGCCTCAACCATTACTACTTCCAAAACCACACCCCTGCAACGATGAGACCAGGTAGGCCAATGACCACTCGCCAGACCGCCCTCGTAACTAGACCCTCCCACCTCTCCGCCGTTTTATTGAGATAGTTTCCTCTCCATCGTTGTCCAGAACCAGAGGTCCCTTGTACACCAGCGATGTCCCCTTCATCCACCTCTGCCAGAGTTGCATCGACCCCATGCGACCTTCCAGCTTCCATCCCAGCCGCTGTATTAACAGGTGATGGGTCCGTGAATAAACGGAGAATAGTGGCAGGTATGGCCCCTAGGATCCATGCGAGGGCATTGAAAACAGGAGGTAGAACGATTCTTCCGCACGGCTTGCGAATAGAGACGCTTCCTCTACTCCTTGACGTACTATCGACAAGAGCTTCATGAGTGACCGTAATCAGTCGTAGGTGTTGATACCGCCGTATCACATTAGCAAAACTACGTTTTGCAGAAATTGCGGTTGCGGGGCCATATCTCTCCCATGGACCCCCACCAACCAATCCGCTCGGACTAGGACCAAATAGTCGGTATCTCTCTTCCAAAATGGTTGAAGTGACACTGGACTGGAGTTTCCAGCCTTCTCCTCCGTTTCTTCCTCCGGGAGCACTAGAGGAAGCTACATGAGGTGGTTGTACGTCGTGTTTTGGATCCAAATGATAGTCTTCGTATTCGTCTATATTCTCGAGGACTCCCTTGGAGCTCACACTTCCCGGAAACAGCGTCACAAGACAGTTGATGAGGGTAAACATTGCCGCCAATGATGAAAGAAACAAGAGTAAAAGTGTGATCCGAGTCTGAGGATGGGAGGGTCCCAAAAGCACCTCAATATGATTTAGTGATTCTTCAACATGATTAGGCCGTTGGACGTCTGGTTCAGTGAATAATTTCATGATAAGATTTCCGACCTGCAGCCCCACCAGAGGGAAATGGTCCCCAAGTGCCCCTGCCAACAACATCCCAACCAATACTACAACCGGGCCAAAAAAGAACATGCCAGGCCGAACAGCCCGCTTCAAGAGACCTTTTACGAGAGTGGCTAGTGGAAGTACGCGTTTTGGTTCGAAAAGATATAGAGGCGATGGTATATATGCAGGATCCGGTAGGTGGGATTGCAAGAGGAACTAAAAACTGGTCAGCTTATCGACCATAGAACGCATGCAATCATGACATACCAACGACAATGAGAGCAGCAAAAGAGCATGTGTGTTGGTATTTGGAGTCGGGATACCAGGATAGGCCAATAATATTCCAGATGCGACGAATATATATGGCAGCACCGATAGTGTGGGCGTTATATTGAAAGGTATAGCTGATATCGAATAAAGGAGAAGATAATACTCTCGGTATGAAGGTTTCCGTTGCGGAAGGGAGTAAAACGGAGAAGATGGGGCAGCAAGAACGAGATGGGCAAGAGTGGACAGATAAATAAAGTGGTGCACCAAGAAAACAGCATGTGTTATTCTGAAATATACGCACGATTAAAGATCAGGTCAATAAATTATCTCTCCATCTAAAAGTAAGCGTACCGTGGTGTGGAAAATCGATCATAGGCCACCCAAGTGCTCTGCGCAGTCGTAGGACCTGGAATTCCATGTGACCATGTAAGGCGTAGAGAGATTGTCACCAAGGGATGTGAAAGGAACCAGACAGGTGCGTCTTGGGCGACGGCCAAGTCGATGACTGTCCAAAGGGTCTGTAAGAACTGGAGCTACGCAGAAGGATGCACGATATCTCACCTCTGATTGTTTGTCTACCATTCTCCTCCATCGGGATCTCTGTCCACAAAACTTCTTCGACACTTCCTCCTTGCCTCCAAGCTTCTCCCTCAACAAATAAGCCCCAGACTCTTTTGATTAGATTTAGAAGAACCCTTCTGCCCTTCAATTCATCTTCCCTCTTCTTCCAAAAGTCCCAAGTTCCGGTGACACCCTGATCGCCAAGAGGGTCTCGTAAGGAGGATGTGGGATGGAGATATAACCATAATAGGGCCGCAAGCAGAAAGGACGTCTTCCTCGGACTATTTTCCTCGTATGAAGAGCTGTGGGCTATCGCAAAGAAGGTCAGCTATGAGTACTGAATGCTTATAATAATTGTAATGACCAGATGCAACAGGACTCAAACCGGTCGGCAGTACACGTTCCATTTTGTCATAAGATATTTCCCTTGGAGGGGGCAATAGACTAATAAAACTCATTAACGCAGGCATTTCTGTGAACTCGTGACTCTCTGGTGCTGAACTCGGCTGAGTGGTGATGTAACGGGTCCAGGAGCTCGACCCGGGAGACGCGGGCGACAGACCAGGGATCGGTTCGTTATATCCCGTCGAGTAGCGGGCTCTAAGGAGCGGAGAAGACTCTGTCGGAGCGGGAAGGATTGAGCCTGCAGCGGTATTGTTGGTCGTTGAGGTCGGCATCTTTGAACCCATTGGAAATTGGGGCGATTGATGAGCAGAGAATTGGGAGGGAGGGGTAGGGAGAAAGGTAGAGAGATTGTTTGGGCGGTTAGTTTGGATGTAGTGACCGAGTCCAACCAACACCAACCCTGACCACTTGAGGCGCAGTGGCGATGTATGCTTCCCAAGCGTGCCCCTTTGGGCTCGCCCTGCGACCAACTCGTGATATAATAGCTCAGCTTCTGAGGCAAAAGTTACTTTATAGGATCTATGCAAGAGTGTACTGCTGCAATCTCTGGATACGTCGAAT